TTTTCCAGCTCTGAATCCCGTCGGGCAGTCAGGGATGCTCCAGGCCAGGAGCTGGATGGTGATCCTGAGCAGTGGGAGCCCCCAGGACACACAGACACCCTTTGGGGTGTCCCACAGCTCCGGCAGAACTCCCAGGGCTTGGAGCCGCTCCCCTCCTGCTCCCCAGAAGAACAGAGGGGTCTGGAAGGAAACCTTTGGCAAATCTGATGGGACACAGGCCCAGAGTGTCCCCCTGTGCTGTCACTGCTGAGGCACCTCCAGCCCTGGGGGCAGTTCTGGGCCCCTCAGACAAGAGAGGCATCGAGGGGCTGGAGCGTGTGCAGGGAAGGGAACGGAGCTGGGGAAGGGGCTGGAGCACCAGGAGCAGCTGAGGGAGCTGGGGGGGCTCAGCCTGGAGAAAAGGAGGCTCAGGAGGGATCTTCTGGCTCTGCAACCCCCTGACAGGAGGGGGGAGCCGGGGGGGGATTGGGCTCTGCTCCCAGGGAACAAGGGACAGGAGGAGAGGGAACAGCCTCCAGCCGTGCCAGGGGAGGGTCAGGTTGGATTTGGGGAAAATTTCTTCATGGACAGGGTTGTCCAGCCCTGGCCCAGGTGCCCAGGGCAAGGGTGGAGTCCCCATCCCTGGAATTGTTCAAAAAACACGTGGATGTGGCACTTGAGGATGTGGCTCAGTGGTGACCATGGTGCTGCTGGTTTGACGGTTGGACTTGATGATCTTAAGGGTCTTTTCCCACCTTAACAATTCTGTGATTCCATGATTTTCTCCATTAACCAACTCTATCCAGTGGCTATTTCCACCTTCCACCTGAGGATCAGGGCCATAGGATCCTGTTGAACACTGGCCTTGGTAAAGTTTTGGGCTGATATTATGGAATCCAGGAATCCCAGAATCCCTGAAGGGTTTGGGCTGGGAGGGATCTTAAAGCCCATCCAGTCCCACCCCCTGCCATGGGCAGGGACACCTTCCACTAGCCCAGGTTGCTCCAAGCCCTGGGAAAAAAAAGGGGTTTTAGTGGTATGGCTTATCTGGGAATTATGAGCTGGAGCCATAGGATCCAATTTCCTCGGTTGGTACAGAAGCAAATGTGCTTCCCTAGTGCAGGAACAGTCCTAGTGCTGATCCCGAGGGCTCTACTTCCCTCCTGGAAGAACAAGAACATCATTTGCCACTTGAATGAATCTTGGAGAGCTGAACCCAGCAGGAGAGGGGGGGAAACATTGAGGGGAGAACTCCAAGATTTCCTCTGCTCTGGAATCCCTCAGAGCTCGGAGCTTCTCCAGGCCTCACACAACACAAAAGCTGCTTCTCCCAGTGGGTGAAATCCCAGGTTTCCCTGCAGTGGGTGGATTCTGGAGGGTTTAGGCTCCAAAAGCACCTCGTGAGAGTCATTTAGAAGGTGGAAACATGACCCAGGAGTTTGGGAGCAAAGCAACACCTCTCCTGTGGCACTGCTGGGGGAGATCCAGGAATCCCTGGAGTATCATCTCCAGCTCTTCCCCACTGCAGCTCATTTTGCAGGACACATTCCCCGAAAAGCCCCAGGAGAAAGCCTTTCCTCTCCATGGGATGCTGCTCCCCGGCCTCCTCTTGCCAACCCCACCCAAACACAGCCCAGCACTTGGGAGAAAAGGAGAGCAGAAAGGGAAAAATGGCCCAAAAATGATGTTTTGGGGCAGGAAACGTGTTTTGGGCTTTTGGGCACTCCAGGTCCCCATGGCTACAACATCCCGTTGCTGCCAGGGAGTCTTTGGGTGCACAGAAACTTCCAGAGCTGGGACAGCACAAACAGCTCCCTCCCTTTGGCACACTCAGGTGGCTGTTCCCTGAAAACCTGGGATGCTTATCCCCATTCCCCACGAAGATTTGGAGGGATGAAAGGCCAGCAGGTCCAGCTGAAGGGTCTGTCACCTTTCCCACTCCTGTCCCTGCCCCAGCCCCAACCATCTGTGTCCCTCAGTGTCCCACACAATCCCATTTCCCCCTGGATTCAAACCCCATCCACATGGAATTCCCCAGCTCTGTAATCCCCACAGCAGCAAAATCCCTTCACCATGTGGAGACCTAAAATTCCTCTGCCTCAAACCAGATCCATCCCTTCCCTCTTGCCTTACAGCTCCAGAATAAGCTCTGCCAGGCCAGACACATCTTTTCCTCCTCTGTTTTTCCATTACTTCCTAGAAAATCCTCCTGCTGTGTGACCTTTCTGTTAGAAAGGCCAGACAATAAGTATGTTTTAGACACCAGGGCTGTTCAGGAATACAGGTTTTCTCCCAAATATTCCCTACGAATCTAAAATCTAGGGCAAAATAAATCCATTTCAATAAATTCCCTTATTCCCTCTGTATTTATGAGGAAGGTTTTCCATCAGAAGAGCTCCCTTTGGAGCCAACTGCTTCCTCTGAAGTGTCTGCACACCACAGGCCTGGATCTTAATTAGCACCCTTGGGTGCCATCGTTATGCAAATGAGCAATAATCCTGCTCCCTTCCCCATCCAAAGGGTTCCTGCACCGTTAAGCCTTTCCCAGTTGACTCTGGAATGGCTGCACTGGGAAGGATGATTCCCTTCACACACCCTCCCTGGGCAACCTCCCTCTGGTTGAATGTTTGCAAAGTGCCCCGGGATTCTGGAATAAATCCAGAATTCCATCTCCCCCCTCTGGAAGCAGCCATGGCCAGTGAGGAGCAGGACTCCCCAGGGACCCCATTTCCCAGGATTAATTC